AAATTTTTTCTTTATTTCGGTCAAAGCATTTATGTCTTTTAGTCATTTTCTAAGCATGACTCTTCGCCTGCTTTCTCTTCTATTTAAACGCAATGTACTTTCATTCTGGAATTCATTCACTTTTATCTTAATAAAAATTTCGAGATTTTCTCTTTGTTCTTTTGAGAACTCTTTTCGATTCTAAGGTGGTTAGCCTCTTGAATCTTTTCTTTCGGTTTATTGAGTTCTATTCATCGGGCTCAACGCAGCCTTCGATCTATCTAGCTTAAGTATTCGTTCAAGTAGGTTTAGGGGCATCGGGATTTTCGGGAACGCGTTCTCACGCCTGATCATCTTAGATCCACAAATTCTTAACTTGGTGCAGCCATCCCCTTTGTTCGTGACGATCACCGCGAGTTTGGGCCTAGGGATATTTGGGAGTTCTCGCTCTCACGCATTAGCATCTGCTCCGTGCATCCGATCTAGCCGAGGATCTATCAACCTCCATTGTCAAGTGTGTCCGGTCTTAGGGGATTCGTATCATGCATTATTCTGGGTTATCCAATTTTCAATGATGGAATTGCTTATTTCGAATATGAGGTTTATGATTTGATTCTGTGATTTCTAATGTCATTTGGTTTTTGTTCCATTGTAGGCGGATTCAGTGGCATCTATATTCCAAACTCTTTCTCCACCTTGATAATCAGCTTGCATGTCTTTATCTGCCGTGAATCCATCACAGTCGTTTCCGTCGCAATCGTCGTAAGCAACTTCCTTTCTCATTTGGCTATATATTCTTCTGCTGTGTTTTCTCGTTTACATGTGTGAGATGTATGGATTTGAAGTTTTCTCATCATGCTTTTTCTGGGTTTTTATAGAAGTTTTGATCACAATAGCTTGTTGATTTCACCATGTGAAGTAAACTAATGTCTTTGTTTTTCTGTTTTTTTTTTCGCTAAGCTCTTTGTTTTGCCATTTGTCTTTGTCTTCTGTTGATTTTGTTGTTGTTTGTTCAAAGTTGTTGAAACTTTAAAATGTTTGCTCTCATATGATATACTCGTTTGCCAGTTCCAAGCTTTAGCGGATTAGCTTTTTCGCAATCCAGATTACCATAAACAAGTTAGGAAGCATATTGTAAAGCAGGTATGTTCTGAGATCCATTCTTGTGCCTAAACTTATAGATCTGTTCTGGGAAGAATATCGAGCTCTGTAGTTAGTGTCTTTACGGATGTCTGTATAGTCTACGTACTAGTTGGTTTACTTTTCTCTTGCTTCTTCTGAAAACTCTTTAGAAATATCACTGAAGCTATTTTCCTGTCTATGGTGATCGATTACTCCATAGTCTTCGAGAACCATCATTTCTAACTCTGCGAGAGTGGTGTTTGATTTAACAGCAACTAACCTAGCTCGTTTTTGTTCATCAGCCACAAAATTCCACCTCTTATCTCTTTCTGATTTCCATGAACCACAAGTTACATAGATATGTAGCATGTTTGAAGCAGAAGATACGTAAATTTAGAAAAATTCTCCTGAATCAATGGGAAGAAGAAGAAAATGATGAAATCAAACAAAAAGAAGCAACTTCGTCAAAAACAAAGAGAAAAACGTGAAAAAGTAAAATATTTTCAAAAAAATAAAAATCTGGAAGTTAGCTAATTTTCCTAGATTTTGTTAGATTTTGGTAGAAGTTGTATTTTACCAACATGTAAAACATGGTCTAATAAGTAAGAACTGTACTACTAGGATGTAGAACTTGGTCTAATAAGTAGAAGAATTGTTTTACATTAACGTAGAACTTGGTTAAATATATAGAATTAATGTTCTACAATAACGTAGAACCTTGTCTATTTGGTAGAAGTTTTATTCTACCAACACATAGAATATAGTTTACCCGATAAAACTTGTAATTTATCATAACGTAGAATATAAAAAGGAATTTAGAAAACGATTTCTACAAGCTGGTAGAAATTACAAAGAACTATAGAAATGAGATTCTACGTAGACGTAGAACATAGAAGACGCGTTCTACCATGCGTATGCGTAGAACGAAATTTAAAAATATTTTAAAAATATTTTCTTTCTTTAAATGATATCCAAAAATATTTTTCCTTCTTATTTTGGAATGTTCGATATTTAAAAAAAAATAAAAATTTTATTTTTATTATAATTACTAAACTGATTTAAGGGTAACTATGTCAAAAAGTGACCTAAAAATAAAAAACATTAAGGGGACAATTCCTAAATCAATTAGCATTATAAAACTAATTCTCCCTTTAGTTTATTTGTATACTAGGCTACTTTATTTTGAAAAAAAAATTAAGATTGAACAATTCCTATAACTGATTTCATTTATTTAGTAGACAGTTAAGGATCACAAAATATTAGTGATCTAACAATATTATTAGTTTGTAAATTGTTGTCTCAGTTCATATTTTACGTTTTAGATTGACTAGTGTAGGCACTGATTCACTAAAAAGGAAAGAACTGATTGTTTAACTTTCTTCTAAATTTGGTTATGTTCAATAACTTTTTGTTGCAACTTTTTCCTTCTTTTTGTCAAAATTGATTAGTTCAGTTGTTTCGCTGATACTTTATGTTGAACTTGAGAAAATATAACAAGAAAGTTTCATGTTTTTTCCAGGGTTATCTACTGCTGAAATTGTTCTGGTGTCCATGCGGTTTGTGGAGGCTGAGAATATATATCTCCATTGGAGATATGATACTCTTCTCATTGGTATAAATGGTATATATAATCGAATATGATACTGACTCGTTTATTGACCATAATTACCCCTAAAGAGTTACTTTTGTCTGATATTTGCTTAATTCATATAACACATTTGTTAATATCTCTGCTCCTTCTGCTTTACTTCATTGATTTTTAAGATGCTCAAATCAATTTATGTAGCTGACTCGCATATGTTAAGTATTTATATGACAATGATGTTTTGTAGATATATCTGCTCCTTTTCATTAAAATTCAAGATGATCAAAATAATTAATGTAGCTGGCTTAAGTATTTATAATACAATGATGCTTTGTTATTGAGGGTCAGATTTCATGTCAATGTGTTACATATATGCAGATCTAAAGTCTGCGAAAAGGCATATGAAGAAATTTTACTTATAATTGTTGTCAAAGCAGGGTAATACATTTTACTTTGAGTCTCATATAGACACGAAGTATGCGTGGGTTTATTTTTTACTATGGCGATGCATGCTTGTTCAGATTTTATTTTAAGTTTTATGGTATATCTAACTTTGTTAGATTTCAAAATATATGGACATTTATAATAGTATTTTGAGATTTAAAAAAACAAATACTTCTTCATTAAAACCAAAGACACGGATATGTAATGGAAAATGTCTTGGGTTCGTGTACTATGTTTCCTAAAGTAAAGAAAGCTCGAGGAAAGAAGAACATGAGAAGTTCTTGGTAAATCAGAATTTAATGGGTTATTAATTATATTAGACTGGAGTATATGTGTAACATCCGAGTTCGGGAAAAACTGAGAAAAGTCGGAAAAATGGGTTTAGTCAGGTAAAACTGGGTTCAGTCGGGTGATTCCGAGCTAAGTCCAGCTTTTGCCGAGCTAAATCAGGTTTTGCCGGGCTGAATCAAGTTTTGGCCGAGCTGAGTCGAGTGTTGCCGAGCTGAAATCAGCTCGCCGCGATTTTCGGGAAATTTAGCTCGGAAATTCCGACAAGCCGAGTTTTTCGGGACTTGGTGGGAATTCGGACAAGGTTGGTCCGGAACAGACAACCTTTGTCGAGATCGGATGTGCGCGGGAGCGGTTAGCGGGTAAAAACGCGCTAAGGCGCGAGCGCGGGAACAATTATGGATTTTAGTCGAGCTGGCGTTGCGCGGGAACGGTTATCAGTCATGCGAAAGCACGCGGAATCTTAGCGGATCGTGCGGATCGTGGGGAACGTGCAGAATGACGCGGGAACGGTTTCTGGGCGGTTTTCTGCGGAAAATCGTGGGAACGCCTACATAATAAAGGCTTCCAGATCATTTATTCTCTTCGCGCGACCCAAAAGAACTCAGAAAAATTGAGAGAAATATTCTTAAGAGAAGTTAGCCGAGAGAAAGTCTGTTTGGCCGAGAGCGATCGAATTCTGGCCGAGAGCGAGTGCATTTCTGTCGAGCGTAGTCCGGATTCTGCAAAGCGATTGTGGGAACGAGTTTAATCAATCGCGATATCTGTCCTTACCGAATTCTGTCCGATAAGAGCTAAGGTGAGTGCGTGACCGTGGCCTGTTGGTCGTATTCTTGCTTAGATTCTGGTCGGTTGCGTGTTATGCTGTGCTTGTCATGACATTTCTGCTGGCTAAGCCGTGTGATCGATCCGCCTTACCGGCGATCTTAGATCAGGCAAGGCGCTCGCGGCTGTGATGCCCGCCGAGGCTTGTCTGGTCGCTGGATGATCGGCCGGGTAAGCGCATATGTTCATCGCGGGTAGTTTTCTGTTTCTGATGAGCATTTGGCTCGATCTTTGTTTGATACGATTTTACTTTGGCCTGGTGAGACGGGATGACCGCTCTCACTAAGCAATCCGTTTGCTTATGCCTCCTTTGTGGATGCAGGTAAAGAGGTCTGATCAGCGCGCGGACTATGGCTGGATCGGGATGGATGGTAGGATCGGGTAGTTAAGGTCTTAGTCAATGTAATAGCTTATATGCGAACGATCATTGTACTGAGAACCTCGATTTAATTCAAGTATTCCGTTTTTCAATCTACTTATGCATGGCTAAAGTTGTCTAAACAAACCTAATGCGAAAAATATTAAGTAAAAACTGGGATGAAATTTTGACTAAGTGTTAGTTTAAATGGAAATCCGGGTTAGGGTGCTACAAGTTCGTATCAGAGCGCGGTCGGTTCTCGGACAAAGTCGTAGCATAAGTGGGTTAGTGGGTAAACCATCCTTCCAAAGCCAAAGTTCCGCGGTAAGACTGATAATGTTTGTCTGTGGTGTTAAGTTAGTTTGCCGGCTAACTTAATAGAGTATCGAACCTTTGCAGATGGCAAGAGGTGATCGTAGACTTCGTACTGATGAAAACTCGGCGGCTAGAAACGCTGCGGGTGGGAATCAGGATCAAGTGGATCCGAAAGTGGGCATTGCTGGGAATGCCGAGAATGCGGCTGCGGCTGGGGCTGTTCTGAACGTTGCTGCTGCCCCGGTTGAATTGGAAGCGGTGTTGGGTCTGTTAACCCAGGTGTTGGCACGATTGCCGGCTGTTGCGGCTGTCCCTGTGGCACCACCGCCAGTCATGCAAGTGAATCCGCCTGCTGAAGCGGATGAGGGAAATGCTGGTGTAAGGGTCCCATCTTACCTGAAGGTGATGGACCACATGCAGAAGTTGGGTACGAAGTTCTTCAAGGGAGGAACAAAGCCGATTGAGGCTGATGAATGGATCGACCGTTTGGAGAGGAACTTCAAGTCGATTCGCTGTCCGGAACAGTACAGAATTGATATTGCCGTGCACTATCTTGAGGGTGATGCGCACACGTGGTGGCGTGGTGCGGTTGGAAGGGAGCGAGTCGGTACGTGGGCTGATTTTTGTGGGTTGTTCAAGGCTAAGTACTTCCCGCCTGAGGCGCATGATCGCTTGGAGAGTGCCTTCTTGGATCTGCGGCAAGGATCAAAGTTAGTTCGGGAGTATGAAGCCGAGTTCAACAAGCTTAAGAAGTTTGCGGGCTGGGGTATGACTGATGAGCATACTCAGATCAAGCGATTCATTCGCGGGCTAAGGATTGATCTGAAGAAGCATTGTGAGATGCAAGACTATCGCACTTTTCCGGAGTTAGTGGAAAAGGCTGCACAGTTGGAAGAAACTTCTGTGGAAGAAGCTAAGTTGGTCGGTCATGCTGCGGCTAGACCAAAGAAAGGTGGTTCGTCAGGAAAACCACTAGCGGGTCGTAATGCTGGTTCGACCGCTGGGAAGGAGAAACGTGCGAGCTGGCGCGCGTCGGGTGCGTGTCTCCGGTGCGGAAGCATGGAGCACAAGGTGAAGGATTGTCCGGAAGAGGACAAGCGCAGAAAGAACCCAGGGAACGGATCGGATGAGAGGGTTTGTTTCCATTGCGGAGAGGCTGGGCACATTAAGCCGAAGTGCCCAGAACTTATGCAAGTCGCGCAGCACACTGGGAAGAGGCCGAGTGAGGGACAGGCGCCTCCAGCAAAGAGGCAGGCCGTGACGCCGCGGATCTATGCTGTAGCTGAACAGACCGCGGAGGATCCGAGTTTGTCACGTCCGATCACTGGTAAGTCCTATCACTTACCTTAGAAAATTGTCTGTGTGAAAATCCTAAGTGTTGCGTGGGTAGCTTAGCAATCTAGGTGATTGTGTAGGGACCTTGATTATGGGTGGTGTGGTAACCCATGTTCTGTTCGATTCCGGAGCAACTCATTGCTTCGTGAATCCGAACATGGTCGGAAAAGGTGGATTTTGCAGGGAACCGGGGGATAACTATGGCTTGGTCCAGGCGGCTGGTGGACAAGTCATGTTCACCCTCGGTAAGGTCAAGGATGTGTCGGTAATGGTTGGTAGCCGGAACATGCCAGCGGATCTGGAAATCTGCGAGGTGAAGTCTTACGACGTGATCCTTGGCATGGATTGGCTCGGGAAATACAAGGCACATCTGGATTGTTGCCGGGGTCAAATTTGGTTTGAGACCGCGGAAGGGATTTTGGAGTATCAGGGGATCAGACCGACTAAGGGAAGCTTGATTGTCTCGGCAATGCAAGCTGACCGAATGATTGAGAAGGGGTGTGAGGCGTACTTGGCTACGATCACGACCGCCGAGGTGGGACCGGATGCCGAGCTAGTTAGTATTCCGATCGGGAGCGAGTTCGAGGATGTGTTCAGGGCGTTAACGGGTTTATCGCCAGCGCGGTCAGATCCGTTTACCATCGAGCTCAAGCCCGGAATTGGGGGAGACTTGTAACACCCGAGTTCGGGAAAAACTGAGAAAAGTCAGAAAAATGGGTTTAGTCGGGTGAAATTGGGTTCAGTCGGGTGATTCTGAGCTAAGTCCAGCTTTTGCCGAGCTAAATTAGGTTTTGCCGGGCTGAATCAAGTTTTGGCCAAGCTGAGTCGAGTGTTGCCGAGCTGAAATCAGCTCGCCGCGGATTTCGGGAAATTTAGCTGGGAAATTCCGACAAGCCGAGTTTTTCGGGACTTGGTCGGAATTCGGACAAGGTTTGTCCGGAACAGACAACCTTTGTCGAGATCGGATGTGCGCAGGAGCATTTAGCGGGTAAAGACGCGCTAAGGCGCGAGCGTGGGAACGGTTATGGATTTTAGCCGAGCTGGCGTTTCGCGGGAACGGTTATCAGTCGTGCGAAAGCACGCGGAATCTTAGCAGATTGTGCGGATCGTGGGGAACGTGCGGAATAACGCGGGAACGGTTTCTGGGCGGTTTTCTGCGGAAAATCGTGGGAACGCCTATATAATAAAGGCTTCCGGATCATTTATTCTCTTCGCGCGACCCAAAAGAACTCAGAAAGATTGAGAAAAATATTCTTAAGAGAAGTTAGCCGAGAGAAAGTCTGTTTGGCGGAGAGCGATCGGATTCTGGCCGAGAGCGAGTACATTTCTGTCGAGCGTGGTCCAGATTCTGCAGAGCGTGGTCCAGATTCTGCAGAGCGATTGTGGGAACGAGTCTGATCAATCGCGATTTCTGTCCTTACCGAATTCTGTCCGATAAGAGCTAAGGTGAGTGTGTGACTGTGGCCTGTTGGTCGTATTCTTGCTTAGATTCTGGTTGGTTGCGTGTTATTCTGTGCTTTTCATGACATTTCTGCTGGCTATGCCGTGTGATCGATCCGCCACGGCGATCTTAGATCAGGCAAGGCGCTCGCGGCTGTGATGCCCGCCGAGGCTTGTCTGGTCGCTGGATGATCGGCCGGGTAAGCGCGTATGTTCATCGCGGGTAGTTTTCTGTTTCTGATGAGCATTGGGCTCGATCTTTGTTTGATACGATACTTTGGCCTGGTGAGACGGGATGACCGCTCTCACTAAGCAATCCGCTTTGCTTATGCCTCCTTTGTGGATGCAGGTAAAAAGGTCTGATTAGTGCGCGGACTATGGCTGGATCAGGATGGATGGTAGGATCGGGTAGTTAAAGTCTTAGTCAATGTAATAGCTTATATGCGAACGATCATTGTACTAAGAACCTCGATTTAATTCAAGTATTCTGTTTTTTAATATACTTATGCATGGCTAAAGTTGTCTAAACGAACCTAATGTGAAAAATGTTAAGTAAAAACTCGGATGAAAATTTAACTAAGTGTTAGTTTAAATGAAAATCCGGGTTAAGGTGCTACAATATACCTAAGAACAAGCCCATGACTAAAAAGAGCTGCAACAAGTACTTTTTCATACTGAAAGATCATTTACGATCACAAACTGTAATGGTGTGACACAAAAACAAACAATTAGTGGCTTTGTAAACTTGCAAAGGAAGTTTTTTTTTTTATAGAAGATAATCCCTACTCAACCATAATTTGTACTATCGACTTCTTTTTTTTTTTTGCATCTCGTTTTTGTTTTAGTTTCTGTCTAAATTTTAACGAGGATACAATCTATTATGAATCTGATATAACTATGAGACAACAGTATAAAGAATGCTTTTCAACTATTCATATTAAAAGTTAGCAAAAAAATTCATATATTCTTTTTATAATAATATTTGGAAGATAAATATATATATATACAAATATAGAACTTTGATATTTTTGGTAGATTTTATTTCAATCCATCAATTTTTTCAAAAAGTTGAAATAATTATAGATATATAGAAAATATTATTTAAATTTGGAAGAAAAAGATTTTGTATGTTTATGTTAATTAATATTTTAGACAAAACTGGTAATAGCATTAAAGGATAATAGTGCTGTCTTAGCTAGATACATTGAATGGATAAAAAAAAATCTAGGATTCTTTATTTTAAAAATTTGGACGGTGGAGATTAACTGTGTTTGATCTAACGGCCTATTTGTTACGTTAACAATAACACATAATCCTCATGAACTGCAACTTAAATAGAGTTCTTCTCTGTACTTTTTTCTCACTATCAAACACAGAAAGATCATTATATATTGTTACTCCAATCACTTTCCTTTCATAATTTTCATTTTTTGTTCTTCGGAAGGTACATCTCGATTTATGTTTTGCTTCTCTTATATATAGTCTGTGAACCTGTGTTGTGATTTATGTATGCTTTCTTTCTTTCTTTCTTTTTTGTTTATAATTATCTCATGTGCTTTTATTCGTATTTGGTGTTAAAATTGAGACTATACTTTTATTTATCTGAATTTTTAAAGTATGATTGAAAACTGCGTTTTTCAGATCTATTTTATCAGTTTTTTTTTTAAATCGATTCAATAATATTTGATTAAAAGTTCAAATTTATGGAGTGTTATTTATAATTGTGTTTTTCATTTTTTTTGTTTTTTTTTGACAAAATAAGACTACAATACTGTTCATTAGAATTCAGATTTGAACATATTGTTATACAGTTTAATGACAATATGTGGCATATCGACAAAAAGTAGATTGAATATTTTTCTTCGACTGTTTTCTTTTTCAAACCTTAATTACCATTTCTAATCTTCTATATGTTTTCATTTAACTTCATCTTTTTCATTATATTGAATATATATATATATATATAGATGTTGTTGTTGTGATTTTATATATTTAGAGTGCTATGTAGTTTTGATAATCCTTAATTTCTTTAAGCAGGTATCAATGTATGATGAAGAGAATCTTATTCTTTCTTTTTTTTTAACCTAAAATATTGTTGTTGTTTAGAATTTTATTTCTCAAACGATGCTTTAAGGGATAAAAAACAGTTTATGTTTTAAACAGCAACTATCCTTTGATCATTATAGTTTTTTTTTTCTAGGGCTTCTCACCAAACAACATACTAGGCTTGAAATACGTTTTCTCTCGATTTTAATCTTGACATAAAAACAAATTGAAAATTAATAGAATTTCTCTACAGAGTTTCATGCTGTTCACAGTGCTGGTTTTATCGTTGAGAGATTTTCCTTAGAAATTGTGTACAAAACCTAAATTTACATTCTCATTCTTTATCATTAAATAATAAGATTTTTTGGTTGCTTTAAATGATTCATATTTGGCTATAGTGAAGTTGTTTTAGAATTGTTGGTTTTTCTCATCGATTTGGTGCATTTGTAATAATAGAGTAGAAGAAGATAATAACAAGCATTCATTATCTGGTAACCCTAGATGTTTATTTTTTTCAACCCTAGAGTTTAAGCAAATAGAAATTGATTGCTTAGAAACTGAATAGAAGAAGAATAAAATTGTTATATTCTACATATCACTGGATATAAATTTTCATAAATTCAAAAATCTCTCTACATTTCGTTAATTGTTTGGTTTTCAAAAAAGAAAAAAAAATTTAAAGGCATAAGGTGATAAAAATGTTTTTGTAAAACTTTGTGTTTGAAAGCTTTAATTTATAGTTACAGATTTTATGGAAGGCTTAATAATTTAAATAGTAGGCTTTCATATAATAGTCTTGCATGAAAACAAATGTTCTTTTATGCAATTTTTACAACCTTCAAAATGTTTTTAAGCAACTCTTTCGATATACATATATACTTATTTAATTAGTCTTTCTCTCTTCGTTGTTCAGTTATTCAAAACGTGTTATATTTACTAATTTTTTCCCTCTAATTTTTAAAGTACATACACTTAATTTTTCATATCTATTTTTTGTTTCTCGTTAAGTTTATGCTGGTTTGATGATAATACACTTTTCATCATTGTTTTGACAGGATTTTTTTTTATTGTAATGGATAAGTCGTGGTGTCCAATTGAGGCTGAACCGCTCAGAAGTGTTGACGACAGTCACAATCAGACCGAAGGCACATCATCACCTCTTCCTCTGATAGTTACGCCACTTCAAACCATCACACCATTCGAGGACTCCAACACAGAGTCTTTGGCTTCTGATGCTGGTCCTAGTACTGGTCTTGTCAAAAGAGGACGTGATCGACCAAAAGGTTCAAAAAACATGAAGATAAGCATGAAGAAGCAGAAAACTTATGCTACCAACAGCAAAGTGGTTACATCAAACCGAAATTTTAATTCGGGGATAACGGAAGCAGAGAGAGAAACTGGAAACCAAGAGGTGGTTGATTCGGTTTTGATGCGGTTTGAATCGGTTAGACGTCGGTTATGCCAACTAGACTACAAGAAAAGTGTGCTTACAACAGCACTCAGTAATTGTATGAACTTGGGTGTTAGGACGAATATGAGAAAAAGAATTGGCCCGGTTCCTGGAGTTGAAGTAGGTGATATCTTCTACTTTTGGGGTGAAATGTGTTTAGTTGGACTTCACACGCAGATGGTTGCTGGCATCGACTAAACGGTTAAAGACGGCACAACAGAATGCCCTCTAGCTACGAGTGTTGTATCATCAGGACACTACAATGATGAAACAGAGGAACTCGAAACTTTAGTATATACTGGGCATGGTGGAACAGATAAGAATGGACAAGCTATTGATCAGAAACTTGTTAGAGGGAACCTTGCATTGGAAGCAAGTAAAAATAAAGGGAATGAGGTTAGAGTGATCAGAGGCGAAGAAGACCCCAACGACAAGAAAAAGAAATTTTACATCTACGATGGACTGTACGTTGTATCTGAATACTGGACAACAAAAGGGAAGTCCGGTTTTCAAGAATACAAATTCAGATTGGTGAGGAAACAAGGTCAACCTCCTGGCTATGCGAACTGGAAGTCAGCAGAAAGATGGAGAAAAGTTGGTTCAAATAATTCAAAAAAGGGTTTTATACTTGCAGATCTTTCTCTTGGAAGCGAGGCATCATCACCGGTTTCACTCGTGAATGAAATCAATGAAAATGACAAAGAGAGACCTGAAGATTTCAGCTACACCAACAATCAGCTATTTGTAAGTAGGACGATTGATCTGCTTCATAGATCTATCGGATGCAATGATTGCTTTGGCCAGTTATGCTCCATCCATGAAGATACAAACTGTTATTGCATCAAGAAAAATGGCGGCAAGTTACCGTACCTCGACAGGATTTTAGTATATCGTAAACCGATGATCTACGAATGTGGTCATTCATGTGCTTGTCCTCCTGAATGCAAACTCAAAGTAACTCAAAATCTTCTGAAAGTTCGCGTTGAAGTGTTCAAGACAGAGAAATGTGGCTGGGGATTACGTTCGTTGGAGCCGATCCGAGCAGGAACTTTTATTTGTGGGTTTGCTGGTATGCGTAAGATGATACAAGAAGTAGAAGAGGATGATGAGTACGTGTTCGACACTTCTCGTGTTTTTAATCCATTCAGGTGGAACTGCGAACCGGAGCTCGTGGGAGAAGATTGTTGGGAACAAACCTCTGAGGTTTATAACATCAAGTCGCGATTGTTGATCAGCGCAAGAAAGGATGGAAATGTGAGCCGGTTCATGAACCACAGCTGTTCACCGAATGTGATGTGGCAGCCCATTGAGAGTGAACAGAATCATGAGTTGTGTATTCGCATTGCATTTTTTGCGATGAGGCATATTCCTCCGTTGACTGAACTGAGGTACGATTATGGAATGTCTGAAGAGATTAAAGAAAAAGATGGGACCAAGACTTTTAAAGGCAGAAAGATTTGTTTATGTGATTCAATCAAATGTCGTGGCTCTTTTGGGTGATTTTAAACAATTTTTTATATTATTTTCGTTATGTTTTTTTTAATCGTTTTACTTTTTTTTTCTTCAGATATTGTTATGGATTTCTTTTTTTATTATTGTATATAATTTATCAAATAAAGTTGTAAACTACAGCAAGATTTGTCTTTATATAGTTGTCAAATGTAATGGATCTTTTAGATAATTTTAGACTTTTTTTATATCATTTCTTTTTTTGTTTTAGTATTAATAGGTGATATAGATCAAATCTCCAACAGTTTCTTAATACTGTAGCTGTAAGAAACTTAATATATTTAGTAAATACGAAATAATTCTGAAAAACAAAATAACAATTGATTATCAAAAACTGTTTTTATTTTTGGTATACTATAGATTTGTTTCTTATGTTATCTCATACCAAAAAATTAAAAAGGATTCCCTATCATGTCAAAAGTAAGAACAAAAGAAGCTCCATAAGGTATTCTTTGTCGTGAGACCTGAGACTTCTTTCCTATCCTTCTTTTTCTAACTGGTGCCAGCCAGTGCATCCTTCTATAGTTCTATTGTCTCCTATTTAGACCAGCCATTTCAACCTTTTCCATCTGAAATCCATTACCAAAAATGAATTAGTAAAAAACCTAGCTACTTTGTGATTTATCCCCAGCAAGTTAAACGAATTAGTAAAAAGTAAAAACCTAGCTACTTTGAGATTTATGAACCCATTGAGAGTCTGAGACTATCCCATTTGCAACAAGACAGAAAAACTGTCCAATGACTGAGGAAACAATCTAACACAGATACATAGCCGGCCAAAAACAGGAAACTCCGAAACGAAATCAAAGCTAAAGAAGCGGAAGAACGTTGAGAACATCCTAGCTAATTAAGGCCACCTGGCTAATACACACACGAGACCATTTTTACTATGTCAGTCCTCTTGGTCTCAAACAATCTATGAGGAAACCAAATACACAGACACAAAACTGTTAATGGATATAAAAAGATGTAAAGTGAAACCAAACTAACCTCACACAACAGTGTACCATCCTCCTCTCCTAAACTTAATTTTGTAAGTATGTATATAACATCTACAGAATCAAAACCCATATTCAGAACAAAACAAATAAACAAAAATTTAGAAAAAAAAAACCCCTTCTAGACCGCCTTAATAGGACCAAGAGAATATTTACTTCCAGACCTCAAGAATGACAGAAGCTGCTTCTGGAGATATATTGATTATCCAGTTTGAGCTCTTGTCTAGAATAAGCAGATTACATAACATACCAAAACTGAGAATTGTGAAGCCTATCTTAAAATATAATACAAAATTTGTGAAGACTTGATATTTTCACGCAAGGAAAGAGAATAGAGAGAGAGGCAAGAAAAGCTCGAAAAAGGTGGTTGATATGCGTCTGCTACTAATAATGATTCTTGCAATGTGTTGAGAAGGAGAAAGTTAACAGGAAAGGGGAGACGAACCATCCAAACAGCTGAAGATGAAAAAGAGCTGGCACTAGATATTCGGTTATTGAAAATGTTGAGAAAAGGGTTGATTACAGAAGATGATTACGGAAGACTTACAGGAGCTCATGATTAAATCAGATTAAGGAGCAAGAAAGATAACCTTGTTCAACCAGTTTGACAAGTTGGAGATATATGATATATGATACAGCCAAAATCAGCAAAAACTGGAACCAGATTCAACTACATTTATGAATCTGCTAACGAAATATTTATATTGTATGAATCGGCAACCCATAATCAAAAGCGTCTGTAGTCCAACGGTTAGGATAATTGCCTTCCAAGCAATAGACCCGGGTTCGACTCCCGGCAGACGCACTTGAGTTTTTTTCTCTTTTGTATTTGTATGTTTTTGTATTTGTATGTTTTTCTTCTTTGTTTTCTTGTTTTGGTCGCATAACTTTTTGCCTGTTTTCTTGTTTTGGTCGCATAACTTTTTGCCTGATTTACTAGCAAGTAACTTCAGAAAATTTTCAAACCTTTTAATGTTATGTTATAATTTTTTGGTGTCAAATTATTATTAGCAGAGTCTAAAGCAATCTTTTTGTGTCTCTCGTCATCTTTTCAGTATAATGTAACTAACATGTTCACATATTTTTATTAGTTCAACTGAGACACACATTTGACTTTCATCCTTTTATTTTATTCTATTCAAAATAGATAATACTTAAATTTTTTTCTCTATTTATTATCTACATACTAGAGAAGATAAAACTGCGGTTCCAGATAGTTTAGGAGGACTCAAGCTTCCCATTCCACCATTTCACGGCAAAAATAATCCTGACGCATATTTAGACTAGGAGAAAAAGATTAATTTGGGTTTCAATTGTCAGCACTATACTGAGACAAACCGAGTCAAGGTGGCAGCAACTGAGTTCTATGACTACGCCTTAAGCTGGTGAGATCAGGTCGTAATTTCTAGAAGGCGTAACCAGCAGTACCCAGTTGAGTCATGAACTGAAATGAAGTCTTTACTAAAAAAATGATTTGTGCTGAGCCATTATCATCAGGAGCTACACCAAAGAATCAGAAGGTTCACTCAAGGCAACCGCACCGTGGAAGATTACTACCAAGAAATGAAAACTTTAATGTTGCGGGCTGCTATTTCTGAAGATAAGGAAGCTACTATGTCCAGATTCTTAGGAGGGCTTAACCGAGAAATCCAGGACAGATTGGAGATGCAACATATGAATAAATAGAAGAAATGTTGTATAAGGCAATACTGATCGAGCAACAACTTAAGAGAAAGTATCCGGTTTGATCTCGCTACGGGGTTGGAAGCGTACGTTCCTGTCAAAATCAGTTACCAAAAGGAAGAGAAATCAAGCTTCCAAAGAGACAACAAGCCCATTGTGAATCCAAGATCAGATGCAAAGCCAATGGCAGCAGTTCAAGATACCAGGAGCAAACTCGAAACTGCATCAACCCGATCTAGAGATGTCTGATGTTTCAAATGCCATGGAAGAGGGCGCTATGCGAATGAATGCTCCAACAAAAGGGTAATAGTTCTCTTAGACAATGGAGAGATCGATTCAGAAGAAGAACAACCGGAGAACCATGATTAATCTGAGGAATATGAAGCCATGCCGGCTAGAGGAGAGTTACTTGTAGCTCGGAGGACACTAAATATTCAGAGCAAAGCTGAAGAGCAAGATCAGAGGGAAAACTTGTTCCACACTCGATGTTTGGTTCAGAGAAAAGTCTGTAGCTTCATTATTGATGGAGGAAGCCGCACTAACGTAGCAAGTGAAGAGATGGTCAAGAAGCTTATAGTAAAGCTGAGAAAACATCCGAAACCTTACAAGTTGTGGTGGCTCAATGAGAAATGAAAGTTCAGAACCAAGTGGGGGTGCCTATCTCCATTGGGGAATATGAAGATGAGGTTTTGTGTGATGTATTAGCAATGAAGGGTGGACATATACTTCTCGGGAGGCCTTGGCAATCAGATAGAAAGGTTTTACATGATGGCTTTACTAATAAGCATTCTTTTGTTTTTCATGGCAGAAAAATCACTCTGATTCCTTTAACAGCACACGAAGTATACCAGGATCAAGTCCAGATGAAGCAAAAAGGATAAACCACCAAGCAAACCCTCATATTTCTTCCTAAGAGCTGGTGATATCAAGAAAGCTTTAGATTCTATGCAACAGGTTCTTTTGTTTGTGTTTAAAGAAACTCTTGCTAGTACTACTAATGTTGTACTGGTTCTACCGAGTAAGATTAGTGATCTATTGCAGGCCTTTAAAGATGTTTTTCCTAAGGACAATCCAAAGGAATTACCACCCATTAGAGGCATAGAAAATCAAATAGACTTTGTGCCTGGTGCTTCATTGCCTAATCGACCTGCGTATGGACCAATCCGGTGGAAACCAAAGAACTACAAAGACAGGTGAACGAGCTTATGGAGAAGGGCCATATTAGAGAAAGCATGAGTCCCTGTGCCGTACATGTATTACTAGTGCCAAAGAAAGATGGGATCTGGCGCATGTGTATTGATTGTAGAGCAATCAACAATATCACGGTGAAGTATCGACATCTCATTCCTAGATTAGATGATATGCTTGATGAATTACATGGTTCTAATATCTTCTCAAAGATAGATTTAAAGAGTGGTTATCATCAAATTAGGATAAAGGAAGAGGATGAATGGATTACTGAATTTAAAACTAAGCATGGACTATACAAATGGCTTGTAATGCCATTTGGATTAACAAATGCACCTAGTACATTCATGAGGTTAATGAATCATGTGCTTAGAGATTTCATAGGAGTATTTGTTGTTGTTTACTCTGATGATACCCTTGTTTATAGTAAGAACCTAGAAGAGCATGTTGATCACTTGAAATCTGTTTTGAATGTGCTTACGAATGAAAAGTTTTATGCGAATTTTAAGAAATGCACATTTTGTACAGATAAACTTGTGTTCCTAGGTTTTGTTGTGAGTGCAGATGGTATCAAGGTGAATGAAGAAAAGGTTAAAGCTATAAAAGAATGGCCGACTCCTAAGACCGTTGGTGAAGTAAGGAGCTTTCATGGTCTTGCGGGTTTCTATAGAAGATTTTTCAAGGACTTCAGCACTTTAGCTGCCCCTCTCACCGAGATCATAAAGAAAGATGTGGAATTCAAGTGGGAACAAGCTCAAGAGGAAGCATTATAAGCTTTAAATAATAAGCTTACTCATGCCCCTTTACTTGTTTTACCTGACTTCCTTAAGACTTTTGATTTTGAAATAGAGTGTGACGCCTTTGGGATAGGCGTAGACTCTTTCCTCAGCTGGTTTTGGCTTCTTGGTGATGATTTCTTCAGATGGCGGCTGGTGTCGATCAACACTAGTGGTGGTGTTGCTCGACACTAGTGGTGATTTCGGACCCTCAAGTTGGTGTCGACCGACACTAGTGGTGGTGTCGCTCGACACTGTCTCGTAGGTACATTCTACTCTCTATTCTTGATGCTAAGCTGATTAGTTTTGAACAGTTAAAACTTATGTATGCATCTGATGTTGATTT